GTTTTCTTCGTCTTTGGTACGTTCACCTACAAAAATTGAAAGAATGGAAATTTAACTTAAGATACCAACAAGCAAACTGAAGAAGGCTACTTAATATCAAAACAAAGGCATGGCTGCATAACAACAAACCGAAATTAAGGAAACCGAAATTAAGGAATAAGAACCTACTGAGATATGATATATCCTATAATGTTGTAAAAGAGTGAAAAAGATCAGCTTGACCCCTGATCCATAAAGCAAACTGTATGACACATCAACTTACATGCAAAATCCATCTAACCTTTATTATCACCTTAAAATATATATTCTGAATCTGGTATAAGAAAATAAAATATATGATCCCACTTCATCAACAATATATCCAGAAGTTCCACAAAGAATCACTGGTGCAACATCTACTGTTATAACGCCCGTCTCAAATGCAACCGAGAAATGTTGCGCAGTTTTTGTTCTCAATACAGCTTATAGCCTTGTATGGATGATTATTTAACACTATATATTACTATATAATGCGAAAGCATAGTCAAAGGTTCTGATTGTATCATATTTTCCTCATTTGTACCAGTTATGAGTCCTCTATCCACCAACAAAAGAAAGGCACCATACTATGTCCTAATCAGAGACTAACTCAGAGAGTAGCAAAGGATGTTTAAGGTCATATTTTTGGGTCCATAGCATTTATAATTAGTTTTATCTTAAACTTAAGATGGATTGGTCCTTATTCATAATAACATGAAATGAGACCCAATAATGCTTTAAAAAATAAAGTCCCCCTCCTTCCCCACTCAAATCTTTACAAAACCCTATGAAGAAATGCATCAACAAAGACCCAATTGAGTTCAAGTTCGACAAGTAGATAAAACTAGATTAATCAACAACTGCATATTTTGATACATGTTTCGATCAAAGAATAAGTTTTTATTTGTTAATATCTCCACGAGTAACTAAAGACACGAAGTTGGTACAAAAAATCTAGAATTTTTGTTTTTTATTCCAAATATTAGAGAATATAATGAACAAAATCAACAAAAAGTACAAAAGTTTGAACAGATGGGATCGAGAAAATACCATGGCTACGCCTGATCGAAGCGAGGAGAAGGGGTTTTTCAGGATCGTCGGCGTTCGAAACCCTAGAAGCTGAGCAGTGCCTAGAATTTATAGGATCCCTAACTCTCGTTAAGACAATTTACGATAATGCCCTTTAACTTCAATAAACTTACAGGGGGCCCATGAAAGATGAATTTGCTTGAGTCAGATTGTTGGGCTGAAGTAATGGGCTCGAGCCGAACAAAAAGGCTATTGCCTTTTGTTGTAATCTCAAAATAGGAGGCAAAATTAAGCCCATCCAAAGTGTTTCTCCTTTTAACTTTCAACTCATTGTGTCGAATATAAAAATAGATTGAGAACGAGTATAAATTCTATCAAAACAGTCTGCACATTATTAAGGAACTGCAACCGACCAGACGAGACGACACCCCCTGTGTCAACTCAAAAGGAGGTGCTAGTCGACTCGAAGCCAGTCGACACGAAGCCTGATCGAACGAGACGACACCCCTTGTGTCGACACAAAAGCCGGTCTTAGTCGACACCCCTTGTGTCGACCCGAAAGGAGGTGCTAGTCGACTCGAAGGCTGACCGAACGAGACGACACCCCTTGTGTCGACACGAAAGGCGGTCTTAGTCGACACGCACTACAGTGTCAGTCAACATGTCATATTAAGGAATTGCAACTGACATAATATAGTTTTGATATGAGAATTTGCACTCGGCTTAGTTTTGATATGAGAATTGTGAATGTCGACATAATATAGTTATTTAGCTTGTAAAATATTCTTACTCTTCAGAGGACCGACTTGGTGTGACGATATACGATGGCACTAAATGAAGATAAATTGACAAGACAAGGCCAAGACGACTCGGCCAATTGATCGAGCGAAACTCACCGCAAGGTTTCTACACTCAAATCTCAAAAGGACAAAAGAAACAGTTACAAGATGAGACGACATGTGCATAGCGTGTTGAGTATAAATGTTGCGTAACACTCTGTACGAGTCATTTATCCAATTCTTTAGCAGAGAATATTTATGAAAGACTTGTGACCTAACATGATTCTATTCTTGAGCATAACCGTGTCGTTTTGCACGTGCGCAAATATGCTTGCATTCATGAACAAGGGGAAGAAAGAAGGGGGAAAAAGGGAAGCAACAAGGTAAGGGTCCTTTATCCATTTATTGGACCAACGCCATTCTCTATTGCATCTTTGATCTCACGCCTCGTTTGGTACGCGGGAATGGACTCAAATGAGAATGGGATGGAATTAATGTGAGAATGGAATATTCATTCTCATTCTCACGTTTGGTTGTAATTTATAAAGTGAATTGAGAATTGACGTATTTTAAAATTGTATATTTTATCGATTCTCATTTAAGTGGGGATGCTCATTTCCTATCGTTTCATTGGGAATGCTCATTCCCACATAAAGTGAGAATTGATGAGAAGTGAGAATGGGCATTCCAACTTCAAAAAATATGATGTGTTTCGTAGGAAGGAATGAGAAGTGAGAATGATCATTCCATTCCACCCCATTCCCGCGTACCAAACGAGGCCTCGGTTCCTTAGGTTTTGACTCGCTATTAAAGCTTCAAAGAACCCTAGTCGAGACAGAGCATGGGAAGCATGTGGGCTGGTGTGGGCTCTTCAAACTCACTTGGCCCTCCAAGGGGGCGAAGAGCCTCTTTTGTCTTGGACTCATCTCTCCAAAATTGACGAATAGCGTGCAGATGCTTTGGGGACCCTTAACCAATATGCCCACATAATTAATCCCAACCCCTTGAGGTCGTTTAGGGGATGGAGATCAAATCTTCACACAAGCAAACATAGACACATGATTTACATTAATGGTGCTATGATTCTATCGTGGGCCTATGAGGATAACGCACAAGATAATTAGAGTGGATGCGTAGACATTTCGATGAGGTTGGCTAAGACATTGGTCACATTATCCGCTAAGATAATGTAAATAAATTGGAAAGAGACATAAATTTTTCCCCCCCGATCATGTGATAAGATTTGCTTCTATGCACAAAAATCTTACCAACAAGTAAGATACCTCTTGTATCGGAAAAAAAAATTCCACGGAGGGATATTTTGGTATTTTTAAGACAAGTGGTTGCACGTCTAAGTCGCATGTTAGACGTCGTAGTGTTAACTTTGGGGGTTTTCTGCAAAAGTTATTAGGTGTTTAGTGTGATTTTAAAAGTTATTGGGGGCTGTTGTGATTTTTGAATATTCTTGGGGTTTTTTGTGCTGCAATTATTGGAGGTTTACTGCAAAATGCTAAAAGTTCATGGGGTTTATTAGTATAGTCGTAATGTTGTATTAGTGTAATTATAAATCAAGTATAAGTCTAATCAAACTATTATATCATCACAATCACCAACTTCAAAAATTTATACCCCCTCCCCCCCTCCCTAAGATTTCCTATCGAGGGCCCTCCATTTGGAGTTTTTCTATTGCTTTGGGTCCATCAATTTGGGTGGCCGGGTAGCTTTTGGGCTATCGACAAAGATGGCAAGCACCATATTTCTAAAGACAGGATGTGGAATTGTTAAAAAGTTATTTAAATTATGATTGGTGCAAGGGATTGGATGCCTTCTCTTATCGTAACTGGTTGGATCCAATGGAGGTCTATGCATGATGCATTAATGCAACAAGGAAAATGATAAGGGCACACCCCCAACCACAACCTCAACCACACCACCTCTCTCATTTACTACAGTGCACCGGGTCTCAAGTGGGATTTTAAATTTAAAATCTCACGTGGGACCCGGTGCACTGTAACAAATGAGAGAGGGGGATTGGTTGAGGTTGTGGTTGTGGGGTGTACTCCTAGTGCCAACCGAAGAATTGGGTTCTTCCTTTGGGAATGCTTGCTTACTTCATAGTATTTTACGTAAAATTTTGATGTGGATAACCCTATCTCGGTTGTGATAGTTTGGGCCAATATCTCCTACAAATCCTAGGTAGGTGCACTACACAACGCTTAGAGCACAAGAAAAAGGCATGGAAAACAAAAAATCAAGCTAACATTCATTTGTTCGGTCCATGGATATTAGGCCGGGCCCGGCTCATGCTCACACTTGGCAAGTGCTCGGCTCCACAAGCTACAAAAAAGACTACCTATGAGTATGAAGTCCATTAGCACGCACCAATATTAATAGGCTCCGTCCACTCCTCCCAATTGTCTCTTTCCATTGAACGAGACTGACCCATATATGGGTCATTATATCGTAACGTCGTAACTTTTAAATCACGTGGAAACTATATTTATTTTTACTCAAATTGATATTTATCATCTTTATTTTATTTTTATCTTTAATGACGAGAAAACCACCTAAACTTGCTTTTGTTTACAATATCACACATTTTTTTTGGACATCTTGTTAAAAAAAATGTTGAAATTATTGTTTTACTCTCAACCATCTCTTCCCTCCCTCCCCTCCCCTCCCCGTTCTCCTGAACCTCCTTCGCTTAGCCTGCTCTCTCCTCCACCAAAACGCTCCATCCCTTCTTTCTTGTCCCCGTGCCCCCCCGCCAATGACATTGAATTGCCCAGATTGAAACTTCCCTTTTTGGACATGTCTTGTGAGTCGATTTAGGACGTGGGGTGCGAGGGAGAGCGTGAAAGGAGGAGGAAAGTGATATAGGAGGTGAGAGACGTGGGATATTGGTTTAATGGAGTGAAGAGGTGAACGAGACATGTCCACACGAAAATTTAAATTTTGAGATTATAATGATTTTACTATTTTGTAAGCAATGCACTGATATTATAATAGTTCTTGTACTAATATTGTATAACACTTAATTAAAACTAATAACGAGACATGTCCACACGAAAATTTAAATTTTGAGATTATAATGATTTTACTATTTTGTAAGCAATGCACTGATATTATAATAGTTCTTGTACTAATATTGTATAACACTTAATTAAAACTAAT